AGCCCCCCCGGCCTCGCGTGAGCGTCGGGGCCGCTGGTCGCCCGCGGGGAAGCTCCCTGGCCCCGCCGGGGTCAGGGCAGAGCGGGGAACGAACCGCACCTGCAACCCGCAGCCCGAGGGAAAACACGTATTTCAGCCGTGCTGTCTAAATATTTCCCGAGCAATCAATTCCAGTGCATAAAACCATCAAACAGGATAACCTCGTGATCAAATGGCCAACAGAGAAAAGTGCTTAATATTATCCACTCCAGATAATGAGCTGCATTTCCAGCACAGGCCCCGCGGGGAACGAACCGCACCTGCAACCCGCAGCCCGAGGGAAAACACGTATTTCAGCCGTGCTGTCTAAATATTTCCCGAGCAATCAATTCCAGTGCATAAAACCATCAAACAGGATAACCTCGTGATCAAATGGCCAACAGAGAAAAGTGCTTAATATTATCCACTCCAGATAATGAGCTGCATTTCCAGCACAGGCCCCAAACACACATCATCATGCACTAAATGCCGTGCAATTGCCTGCACAACAAGTTAAGCAAAGATTAAAAGCGAGGAGGAGAGAAGCGGGAGGATGGGAAAGTGAGCACAACGAAACTGCAGTCTGTGCCACGAGTCCGGGCAGCAGCGCAGCCGGCGGAGCGCTGCAGTGCAGTTCAGCGCACAATTGCGTGGTGGACCTTCAGGATCGCGCCTTGGATGCCTGCCTGGATTTACAAACCGTGCACGCTGTTATGAACACAGGTGAAGAGCAGACGGCCTTAGGGTTTACAAGACAGCAATGTCACGGATGAATTAAGAGGAAACCAAGCCTCTCTCTGCAGGAGATCCACCTGCTGGCACAGGTTAACCTAGGTGATGGGAGAATCGCTGCACTTTCTACCCTGCTTGCAAATAGCATGTCTTCTGTGCTCTCCATGTCCTTGTATGGAAAAACAGATTGCAAAGGTCGAGGAACAGAGACCGTGATGGACTCACACTCATGATGGGGAAACCTGGGGAAGGACAGAGCTTTATGCGGTGGTTTCGAGAAATAGCCCTGGGCAATATCTCCAGCCTGAACGGCTCCATGACTAACGCGCAGAGGTTAGCAAACTCTGGGCACCGGCTCCAACAACATCCGTTCTGCCTTTCAAAATGGTTGCAGATACAACCAAGCTACTTACTCTTCTTTTTCCTTTCCTCCTCTCTCCCCTCCTTATTCCAGCACGCTTTGCAGTCGACCCCGTGGGAGGGGAAAGGGACTGCCATGCTACCTTCTTCCAGCAGAAGTCAGACATTGGCATTGGCAAAAAGCCGGCAGCTCCAAAACGTTCCCTTACTTTTAACCAGAGACAGTCCTGAGCCACAAGACCTGCCCAGCACACCAAGAGGCGGGAAGGATCGTTTCTGGGAAGTTACATCCTGCTCTCGCAGCACCGAGAGCCAGCTGTGAGTTTTAGGCAGAGCTCCTCAGCTGGAGCAATTTGTCACAGCTCCGGTGAAACTGGTGGGGACATGTAAAACCAGCTGAGGATCAGCCGCGGTCGCCGCTCTGGTCCAGGCTCTGACTCCATCCCACCAAGATGCCTGTATTTGGGAATTTGGCTCGGGTTCCTCGCTGGTATTGACTTAGCAGTGTCCTGCGGTTCGGTATTTCAAACACTGCCCGCATGTATCCTGGAACCGGCAATTAGCGGAGCGGGCACGGGTCCCAGAGCATTTACCTCTCCCCCTCACGCTCCCCTGCTACTTCTGCAGTTGCAGATGCATGAAAATCACAGAACGCACACGTCCAAAATCCAGCTTTCCCCCAGTGTCTCTGTGTGGATCATTTTCACCCACGAAACTGAGATTCGCACGTTATGGCACCCCTCCTGTGCTGTCTGCGGCGAGCCTGATGTTCCCGTGCAGGAACACAGCCCGGCTATTGGTCGTGTTTAGGCAGAGCGCGCAGAGATGTGAATGTCAGGGAAAGTGATTTGTCACATAACATTACCTACAAGAGAAAGGAGAAAAGGCTAGAAAAATGCCTAACAGTTGCTGTAATTGTGGCCTCTGCAAATGGCTGCAGGATGTCAGACACCAAGTGGGGGAAAGGGCTGGCAGAGCTTATGATGACCGAACCTGAGGTGGACGTTGTTCCAAGCCAGTGATTAATAGTCTGCTAGGATTTATTTTGGCATCAAGAAAAAACGAACGCAGTATCTCTGAAAGATGCCAGATGGGCAGCACAGAGGACGAGCTCCTCCGGTTATGCGCAGGAGCGGTTCGGAGCAGGGACTGGCAGCGGGCAGCACCAGGGCTGGCTGGACCGCGCAGGCGGAGCAGGCGGCCACCTCGGGCCAGGCAACGCTCGCTCCATGTCTGTGGGGTAGCTGCATCCCGGCAGAGACAAGCTGTGTCCTCTTTCTGAGGCCCCAGGACTCCTGGAGCTGTTAGGGGTATAAGTGACCACTCAGCACCTTGCAAAACCCACATAAAAGCGAGGTGGGTGCAGCGCTGCCGGCTCCCATCCTGCGACCCGCAAGCAGAGCCTGCTGAGCAGCAGGAGCAGCAAAGGCAGCCTTGGCCCCATCCTTATTTCAGGTGCGTCTTCTTGCCACATCCTTAGGCTTGGACCTCATTTCTGCCAGGAGCACCAGGGACAAAGCCTTCCTCCCACAGCCCGAGCTGGTCCTCCTCCTGGGGTCTTCACCCCCCAGGCAGCCAAAATGGCTATGGCAGCTCCAGCGGTTGCTCTCTCCAGAGAAAGAGAGTAGGAAAACTTGGTCCCTGGAGAGCCCGTGGCTTGTCCCCCACCGTTGTGCTGGGCGGGCGTCCAAGGCCTTCAGCCTCTCCAGCCACAGTAATAACAAATGCTGATGGTGGCCTTCAGAGAAGGACACTGAGCGGGGAGGTGACAACGGTACCTGAGTCCTTCCAACTACTTGTGTTGCTTGTCTCCTTGCAAAATGAGAGGATGATCTTGGCTCTCCGTGTGATCAGCTACAACCATCTCGCTGCCTGCTGATGCCAACATACCCTCCAATGTGAGGCTAAGGATAAAAGTGAGTCCAGCTGGGCCACAAGATATATTGTTTGGATCAGATGGAGAATTACTTATGCAGTGTTTTATTAACCATAATTGATAGCTGTGCCTGGTAAAATGAGTAATAATCCTGTTGAAAGGGTTGCTTCTGAATCACACAGTGTTATTGCCAATGCTGCAAACTTTCCTCACTGGTCAGCAGGCCACATCCTTCCCTGGAGCACGTGATGCTCAGAAACAAAGAGTACAAACAGGACAGGAACAGTTTTGGGGAAAACATGACAGGTAGGGCCCTCCAGCCCACAGTACCTCTGATTTTTGCACTTTGTCTCATCTCAGCCCACCAGGAACACTATCTCACCCGGCATTTATTTATCCTGCAGCTCCACATCGAGCCAGGACATCTCCCAGGGACAGAGCTCTGCCTGGGGTAAATGGTTGTTGGCTGAGGGAAGAAAATAGAGAAACAGCAATTTACAGGTAGGCATCTACTCTGTACACTGTTTCGTGACCTCCTAGAATTGCAGTCTATTCTCAGCAAGAGATGCATGTGTTCTCTGGGTTCGTCTTGTCTGTAGGTGATCCGATCCCCAAGGACCGGTTTCGCCACGGTAGCGGCCGCGGGGAACTGCTCTCCTATTCGAGGGCATTTCTGGCAGCTCCG